TGAAGTTTCATTACGTCCCATTTGTTTATTTTTGTTTTTATTTCCATTTCTCTAAGAGGTGGGTCAAAAAGGATCTTGCTGTGATTTATGTCAAAGAGTGTTCTTCTTATGTTTTCCTCTGAGAGTTTTATAGTGTCTGGCCTTACGTTTAGGTTTTTAATCCATTTTGAGTTTATTTTTGTGTATGGTGTTAGGGAGTATTCTAATTTCATTCTTTTATAAGTAGCTGTCCAGTTTTCCCAGCACCACTTATTGAAGAGTCTGTCTTTTCTCCACTGTATATTCTTCTCTCATTTATCAAAGATAAGGTGACCATATGTGCGTGGATTTATCTCTGGGCTTTCTATCCTGTTCCATTGATCTCTATTGCTGTTTTTGTGCCAGTACCATACTGTCTTGATTACGGTAGCTTTGTAGTATAATCTGAAGTCAGGGAGCCTGATTCCTCCAGCTCCATTTTTCATCCTCAAGATTGCTTTGGCTATTCGGGGTCTTTTGTGTTTCCATACAAATTGTGAAATTTTTTGTTCTAGTTCTGTGAAAAATGCCAGTGGTAGTTTGATAGTGATTGCATTGAATCTGTAGATTGCTTTGGGTAGTAGAGTCATTTTCACAATGTTGATTCTTCCAATCCAAGAACGTGGTATATCTCTCCATCTGTTTGTATCACCTTTAATTTCTTTCATCAGTGTCTTATAGTTTTCTGCATACAGGACTTTTTCTCTTTAGGTAAGTTTATTCTTAGGTGTTTTATTCTTTTCTTTGCAATGATAAATGGGAGTGTTTCCTTAATTTCTCTTTCACATTCTTCATCATTAGTGTATAGGAATGCAAGAGATTTCAGTGCATTAATTTTGTATCCTTCTACTTTACCATATTCACTGATTAACTCTAGTAGTTTTGTAGTAGCATCTTTAGGATTCTCTATGTATAGTATCATGTCATCTGCATACAGTGACAACTTTACTTCTTCTTTTCCAATTTGGATTCCTTTTATTGTCTTTTCTTCTCTGATTGCTGTGGCTAAAACTTCCAAAACTATTTTGAATAATAGTGGTGAGAGTGGGCACCCTTGTCTTGTTCCTGATTTTAGAAGAAATGGTTTCAGTTTTTCACCATGAAGAACTATGTTGGCTGTGTGTTTGTCATATATGGCCTTTATTATGTTGAGGTAAGTTCCCTCTATGACTACTTTCTGGAGGGTTTTTATCAAAAATGGGTTAAATGGGTGTTGACTTTTGTCAAAAGCTTTTTCTGCAACTATTGAGATGATCATATGGTTTTTCTCCTTCAATTTGTTCATATGGTCTATCACATTGATTGCTGTGCATATATTGAAGAATCCTTGCATTCCTGGGATAAATCCCACTTTATCATCGTATATCATCCTTTTAATGCTCTGTTTGATTCTGTTTGCCAGTATTTTGATGAGGATTTTTGCATCTATGTTGTTCAGTGGTATTGGCCTGTAGTTTTCTTTTTTTGTGACATCTTTGGTTTTGGTATCAGGGTGATGGTGGCTTCATAGAATGAGTTTGGGAGTGTTCCTCTCTCTGCTATATTTTGGAAGAGTTTGAGAAGGACAGGTATTAGCTCTTCTGTAAATGTTTGATAGAATTCACTTGTGAAGCTATCTCGTCCTGAGCTTTTGTTTGTTGGAAGATTTTTTTTTTTTTTTGCGGTATGCAGGCCTCTCACTGTTGTGGCCTCTCCCGTTGCGGTGCACAGGCTCCAGACGTGCAGGCTCAGCAGCCATGGCTCACGGGCCTAGCCGCTTTGCAGCATGTGGGATCTTCCTGGACTGGGGCATGATCCCATGTCCCCTGCATCGGCAGGCGGACTCTCAACCACTGCGCCACCAGGGAAGCCTTTGTTGGAAGATTTTTAATCACAGTTTCAATTTCAGTTCTTGTGATTGGTCTGTTTATATTTTCTATTTCTTCCTGGTTCAGTCTCAGAAGGTTGTGCTTTTCTAAGAATTTATCCATTTCTTCCAGGTTGTCTATTTTTTTGGCATATAGTTGCTTGTAGTAGTCTCTCATGAGCCTTTGTATTTCTTCAGTGCCAGTTGTTAATTCTTTTTCATTTCTAATTCTGTTGATTTGAGTCTTTTCCCTTTTTTCCTTGTGTCTGGCAAATGGTTTATCAGTTTTGTTTATCTTCTCTACGAACCAATGTTTAGTTCTGTTCATCTTTGCTATCGTTTCTTCATTTCTTTTTTATTTATTTCTGATCTGATTTTTATTATTTCTTTCCTTCTGCTCGCTTTTTTTTGTTGTTGTTGTTCTTCTTCTTTCTCTAATTGCTTAGGGTGTAAGGTTAGGTTGTTTATTTGAAATGTTTCTTGTTTCTTGAGGTAGGATTGTATTGCTATAAACTTCCCTCTTAGAACCGCTTTTGCTGCATCCCATAGGTTTTGGTTCATCGTATTTTCATTGTCACTTGTTTCTAGGTATTTTTTGATTTCTTCAGTGATCTCTTGGTTATTAATACTGTATTCTCTAGCCTCCATGTGTTTGTATTTTTACAGTTTTTTTTCCTGTAATTGATATCTAGTCTCATAACATTGTGGTCAGAAAAGATACTTGATATGATTTCAATTTTCTTAAATTGAGCAAGGCTTGATTTGTGACCCAAGATATGATCTATCCTGGAGAATGTTCCATGAGCACTTGAGAAGAAAGTGTATTCTGTTGTTTTTGGATGGAATGTCCTCTAAATGTCAATTAAGTCCATCTTGTTTAATGTGTCATTTAAAGCTTGTGTTTCTTTATTTATTTTCATTTTGGATGATCTGTCCATTGGTGAAGTTGGGGTGTTAACGTCCCATACTATGATTGTGTTACTGTCAATTTCCCCTTTTATGGTTGTTAGCATTTACCTTATGTATTGAGGTGCTCCCATGTTGGGTGCATAAACATTTACAATTTTTATATCTTCTTTTAGGATTGATCCCTTGATCATTATGTAGTGTCCTTCTTTGTCCCTTGTAATAGTCTTTATTTTAAAGTCTATTTTGTCTGATATGAGAATTGCTACTCCAGCTTTCTTTTGAATTCCATTTGCATGGAATATCTCTTTCCATCCCCTCACTTTCAGTCTGTATGTGTCCCTAGGTCTGAAGTGGGTCTCTGATACACAGCATATATACAGGTCTTGTTTGGGTATCCATTCAGCCAGTGTATGTCTTTTGGGTGGAGCATTTAATCCAGTTACATTTAAGGTAATTATCAATATGTATGTTCCTATTACCATTTTCTTAATTGTTTTGGGTTTGCTTTTGTAGCTCTTTTCATTCTTTTCTGTTTCCTTTCTAGATAAGTTCCTCTTAGCTTTTGCTTGTCTGTAAAAGTTTTAATTTCTCCATTGAATGTGAATGATATCCTTGCTTGGTAGAGTAATCTTGGTTGTAGGTTTTTCCCTTTCATCACTGTAAATATTTCTGCTACTCCCTTCTGGCTTGCAGAGTTTCTGCTAAAAGATCAGGTGAAAAACTTTTGGGGATTCCCTTGTATGTTATTTGTTACTTTTCCCTTGCTGCTTTTAATGTCTTTTCTTTGTATTTAATTTTTGATATTTTCATTAATATGTGTCTTGGCGTGTTTCTCCTTGGATTTATCCTGTATGGGACTCTCTGCATTTCCTGGACTTGATTCACTATTTTCTTTCCCATATTAGGGAAGTTTGCAACTATAATCTCTTTAAATATTTTCTCAATCCCTTTCTTTATCTCTTCTTCTTCTGGGACCCCTTATAATTTGTATGTTGTTGCATTTATTTTGTCCCAGATGTCTCTGAGACGTCCTCAATTTTTTCCATTCTTTTTTCTTTATTCTGTTCTGTGGTAGTTATTTCCACTATTTTATCTTCCCAGTCACTTATCCATTCTTCTGCCTTAGTTATTCTGTTATCCACTCCTTCTAGAGAATGTTTTATTTCATCTATTGTGTTGTTCATCATTGTTTGTTTGCTGTTTAGTTCTTCTAGGTCCTTGTTAAACTTTCCTTGTATTTTCTCCATTCTATTTCCAAGATTTTGGATCATCTTTACTATCATTACTCTGAATTCTTTTTCAGGTAGACTACCTATTTCTTCTTCATTTGTTTGGTGTGGTGGGCTTTTACTTTGCTCCTTCATCTGCTGTGTATTTTTTGTCTTCTCATTTTGCTTAACTTACTCAGTTTGGGGTCTCCTTTTCACAGGCTGCAGGGTTGCAGTTCCCATCGTTTTTGGTGTCTGCCCCCAGTGGGTAATGTTGGTTCAGCGGCTTGTGTAGGGTTACTGCTGGAGGGGACTAGTGCCTGTGTTCTTGTGGATAAGGCTGGATCTTGTCTTTCTGGTGGGCATGACTGCATCCGGTGGTATGGGGTATCTGTGAACTTATTATGATTTCAGGCAGCCTCTCTGCTAATGGGTGGGGTTGTGTTCCTGTCTTGCTAATTGTTTGGCATGGGGTGTATAGCACTGGAGCTTGCTGGTCATTGAGTGGAGCTGGCTCCTAGATTTGAGATGGAGATCTCTGGGAGAGCTTTCACCGACTGGTATTATGTGGGGCCGGGAGGTCTCTGGTGGTCCAATGTCCTGAACTCGGCTCTCCCACCTCAGAGGCTCAGACCTGATACCTGGCCAGAGCACCAAGACCCTTACATGTAAATAGGTTAAATTCTCCAATCCAAATTCACAGTGTGGCCGGCCTCCTGCGCTCTGCTCAGTCCTCCAGCTGGGCATTGTCTCCTGAACCTGGTCGATATGGAGAGCCTGCTTTGGATCCAGGTCCAGCTGTGTTCCCAAGCATCTAGAATAAGCAGCCATCACCCCCATCCTCCTCTATCCCCACTGCAACTCATCAGGATCCTCGAGACTCCATTCTCAAAAGGCACACATAAAATCTTACAGGCTCTGGGATGCAGGGCAAAAGCAGTAATGAATGGAGCCTGGGTGAGACCTATCTGTTGGTCTTGGAGAATCTCCCAGAGAGGGAGGGGATGATGGTAGCTCACCCTGGGGATATAGAGCATTCTTGGGAGCTCCTTCTACCATGTGGATAATGGTGCTGGTGGGCGCCATTGCAGAATCCTCCCACTAGTTCATTAGTACCAAGACCTGGACCCAACCAACTGTCTTTAAGTGCCAGTGGTGGGATGCCTCAGGCCAACCAACTTACTGGGTGAGGACAAGACCCACCCATCAGCTGACAGGCTTCCTGTGTCCATAACCCCTCTAGACACATCTCTAGACACAGCTTTGCCCACAAGAGGGCCAAGACCCAGCTCCACCTATCAGGGGGCAGGCACCAGCCTGGTCCTCCAGGAAACCTGCACCAGCCTCTAGACTAGCCTCACCCACCAGGAGGCAAACACCCAATGCAAGAAAACCACAATCCTGCAACCTTTTGACCCAGCCCACCCACAGCAGGCCACACCATACTATGAGACCAGCCGGTCTCTGTCCCTGCCCTATAGCAGGCCAACACAAGCTTCAAGACACCTTGGATCCTATACCCAACTGTGTCAGGAACTGTTCCTCCCTCCAACCCCAATTGATCTGACACCAGCTCTGGGATCTCTGGGCCCTGCAGCAAGACTCTGGTACCCAAGTCTGCCTGCCAGTAGTCCAGCATTAACTCCAGGACCTGTGTTCACCCAGCAATGGGGGACAATAGCCCTGAGTCTTCTGAACCCTGACTCTGCCCACCAGTGAGCTAGCACTAGCCCCGGGGCCCCCTGGGGTTCTGCAGTCAGCTGCCTTGTGATCAGGCCCTGCTAACCAGCAGCTATCAGAGTCCACACAAGGCAGGGCCTGGCAATCAACCAGGTTAGAGGCCAACCAAGGCTATCAGACTGCTCACATAGCTGCCACAACAGAAGGACCCATGCAGCCATCTTAGGGGGAACTCCTAGAGCATATAGCTTGGATGATGAGAGGGGAGTCTACTCCTGGGATGCATAATACATCTTCTACAGTAGGCGACTTCTCCAAAGTCAAGAAATGTAACTAACTACCCACACACATAAAAATATAAATAGCATTGTCTAAATACTTAGACAAATGAGGTGGCAGAGGAACATGTTCCAGACAAAGGAACAAGATAAAACCCCAGAAGAACTAAGTGAAGTGGAGATAGACAATCTACCCAAGAAAAAGTTCAGGGTAATGATTGTAAAGATGATGAAAGTAGTTGGGAGGAGAATGGATACACAGAGTGAGAAGTTAGAAGTTTTTAACAAAGAAATGGAAAATATAAAGAACAGCCAAAGAGAGATGAAGAATACAATAACTATAATGAAAAATACACTAGAAGGAATTAATAATAGAGAAAGTGATACAGAGAAATGGATCAGTGAGCTGGAAGACAGAGTAGTGGAAATCAGTGACACTGAACAGGAATAAAAAAGAATGAAGAGAAACAAGGCAGTTTAAGAAACCTCTGGGACAACACTAAGCACAGAAATATTCATCTTACAGTGGTCCCAGAAGGTGAAGAGCAAGAGAACAGGGCTCAGAACCTATTTGAAAACATAATAGCTGAAAACTTCTCTAACCCAGGAAAGGAAACAGTCACCCAAATTCAGGAAGCACAGAGTCCCAAACAGTATGAGCCTAAGGAGAAACACTCCAAGACACACTGTAATTAAAATTACAAAAATTAAAGATAAATAAAGAATATTAAAGGCAGCAGTAAAAGCAGCAACAAATAACATAACATACAAAGGAACATCCATAAGACAATCAGCTGATTTTTTAGCAGAAACTCTGCAGGCCAGAAGGGCCTGCAATATATTTCAGGTGGTGAAAGGGAAAACCTAGAATGAAGAATACTCTACCCAGTAAGGCTCTCATGCAGATTTGATGGAGAGGTCAAAAGTTTTACAGACAAGCAAAAGGTAAATGAATTCAGCACCACTAAACTAGCTTTACAACAAATGTTAAAGAAACTTCTCTAGGTGAAAAAGAAAAGGCCACAACTAGAAACAAGAAAATTACCAAATGAAAAGCTCACCAGTAAAGGCAAACATACAATAAAGGTAGGAAATCATCCACATACAAAGGTAGTAGGGAGGTTAAAAGATAAAAATAGTAAAATTATCTATATTCACAATAAGCAGTTAAGGGATACACAAAACAATTAGATATAAAATATGATATCAAAAATAGTAATCATCAGGGGAGAAGAATATAAATGTAGGGTTTAAAAGATGCATTTGAAATTAAGAGATCAGCAACTTAGAATAATCATATATATATGATTATATTTAATATCATACATATATATAATCATATATATATGTGTGTATATATAGAGAGAGAGAGAGAGAGAGAGAGAGAAACTGCTATATAAAGACCTCATGGTAACCACAAATCAAAAATCTACAATAGCTATGCACACAAAAAAGAAAAAGGAATCCAAATGTGCTACTAAAGATAGTCATTAAATGACAGTAGAAGGGAACAAGAGAAAAGGGGGAAAAAAGACCTAAAAAACAAACACCCCAAAACAAGGAACAAAATGGCAATAAGAACATATATATAGATAATTACCTTAAATGTAAATGGACTAAATGCTCCAGCAAAAGACACAGAGTGGCTTAATGGATATAAAAACAAGACCCATATACATGCTGCCTACAGGAGAACTCACTTCTGATCTAGAGACACACAGAGACTGAAAGTAAGAGGATAGAAAAGTGTATCCTATGCAAATGGAAATCAAAAGAAAGCCAGAGTATGAATACTTATATCAGAAAAAATAGACTTTAAAATAAAGACTGTTACAAGGACAAAGAAGGACACTATATAACGATCAAGGGATCAATCTAAGAAGATATAACAATCATAAATATATATGCATCTAACAAAGGAGCACCTAAATATATAAAGCAAATATTAACATACATGAAAGGAGAAATAGAGAGTAACACAAGAATAGTAGAGGACTTTAATATCCCACTTATATCAATGGACAGATCATCTAGACAAAAAAATCAACAAGGGTACACTGGCATTAAATGACACATTAGACCTGATTGACTTAATTTATATATATATATATATATATATATGAAGAGAGAGAGAGAGAGAGAGAGAGAGGGAGCATTCCATCCCAAAGCAGCAGAATATATGTTCTTTTCAAGAGCACATGGAATATTCTCCAGGATAGATCACATGCTAGGCCACAAAACAAGCCTTGGTAAATTTAAGAAAATTGAAATTAGACCAAGCCACTTTTCAGACCACAATGCTATGAGACTAGAAATTAATAACAAGAATAAAAACTGCAAAAACCAGAAACATGTGGAGGCTAAACAATATAATATTAAACAACCAATGTATCAATGAAGAAACCAAAGAAGATTAAAAAATACCTAGAGACAAAAATGAAAACATAATGATCCAAAACCTATGGGATGCAGCAAAAGCAGTTCTAGAGGGAAGTTGAGAGCTATACAAGCTTATCTCAGAAAACAAGAAAAATCTCAAATTAACAATATAACCATACACCTAAAGGAACTAGAGAAAGAAGAACAAACAAAACCCAAAGTTCAAAGAAGGAAAGAAATCATTAAGTTTAGAGCAGAAATGAAAGAAATAGAGACTAAAAAAATAATAAAAAAAGATCAATGAAACTAAAACCTGTTCTTTGAAAAGATAAACAAAATTGAAAAACCTTTAGCCAGACTCATCAAGGAAAAAAGGGACAGGGCACAAATCAATAAAATCAGATTGGAAAAAGGAGTTACAAACCTGAGAAAGGTTAAAAAAAAAAAAAGTTACAATGGACACCACAGAAATATGAAGGATCATAAGAGACTACTATGGATAAATACATGACAATAAAATGGACAACCTAGAAGAAATGGACAAACTCTTAGAAAGGTACAATCTCCCAAGACTGAACCAGGAAGAAACACAGAATATGAATAGACCAATTACCAGTAATGAAATTGTATCAATAATTTAAAAACTCCCAGCAAATAAAAGGATAAGTTCATAATTCTTTGTCATTTTCAGACTTGAAAACTTCCATGGCCTGCTTACATTACTGAAGACAACATAGTGCCAATGGTTGACCCTTTCAGAGTTCTACCTGGGTTCATGAGTCTGTCAGGCTCACTCACAAAGAATGTGTGTTCCTCCCATCACAGGGGCAGCATGTCAGGCAGAAATCTAATGGGTATCCAGAGATATTTAGCTACCTTTCGAGAACTCTTTTCATTCTTATGATAAGATTAGAAAAATAAAGGGATAGACTCTGAATTTTGTTTCTCAGCAATACCACATACAGAAGTCACAAATGAAATTGTGATTTTTAACTTCAACTCCTAGATTGATTTTATTATCAAAGAAATGTCAGAATCATTCACCTAAAAAATCTATGAACTACACTGAACAAAAACTTTGTATAGAGGAGTATTGGATATGTTTTTGGATGAGGAAAGGGATATATGGGCTAAGGATTTTGATTTTTCTTCTAAGAGCCATTGGAAGTTATTTAAGGGTTAAGGTGGAGCTGTAGCCATAGGTGTGAGAACAGTGGTGATCTCAGCAGTTTGGCTTTTTATAAAAATGATGTTGGCCCAAATGTAGGGAATGGTATAGGATAAAATGTTAGAAAATACACATAGAATATTAAAAGGTTATGTCAGTATTCCAGGTAGGAGATCCAGTTTTCCTGAACTTGGAGAGAAGTGGATGGTTTCAACAGACATTGAAGAGATACAAGCTGTGGATTTGATAATGATTTTGACATGGATTTGAGAGATTACTCTCAGGTTTGTTTCTTTAAAAATGGGTAGGTGATAATGCCATTATTTGAGAATGGGAGGGCTGGATGAGGTCCATGTTTAGTGATAGGTTTCAAATGACTCTAAATTTGGATTTGGATATGTTGAGGTTGATGGGTCTTTGAGATGTTTGAAGAAATTATCAGGTCACTGGAATGTGGCAACATCAAGAGTGACAAGTTAGAGGAAATTAATATGTCCTAAAAACTACTCAGAGGCAGTTTATCAAGTTGCCTGCACAGTAAACTCTAATGACACAAAGTGTGTTTCTAATTGTTACACTTG